TAATAAAAGTAACGAAGAAAAAATAGATATTTCAATTACTCTTCTAAAATATTTTTAAGTTCAAATATAATAGTAATAGTATAATATAATATAATAGTATAATTTTTAAGTTCTTATTAAATTATTTTTACTAAATTGTTGCATTATTTGGATATGCAAAATTTCTTTGACATAAAGTGAATTGAAACTTTGCATTCAAATGTTGTCGCCATATAATATTAAAGTCGAGGTAATATTGAGGGAATATTCAAAATTTTTATTGATTCTAAAGAAAAGTTTGGATTGTATGTTTTCGGACGCTACAGCATATAATAATCCCGGTTATTGTCACGGCGATAATTACCGTCTGACATGTTGGTGCACTGCATTAATTCGCGTTAAATGATTTCGCTCGCGACATGACATGGCGAGCGTTTATCTCATTGCAGTTCGCTGCGCTTCGCCACATCGATTAATCTACAAGAACGAGCGCAGTTTTCTCGATACAAATGATGTAACCGATACACCGCAGCCTTTCTCCTTTTGCGACTGTTGTAGCAGGAAAGACAATATTACAGAATGAGAAAAAAAGTATTTAGTATTTGTAACGTAAATATAATCATAATATGTCACAAATATATCAAATATCACCTTGATCCACGCATAATTAATGCAGCGATATCTTACAAAATATCTTGTGCCGATCTAAATAAATTTTCAAAGTAATTTTCGAGATAATATCGCGGGATAAATGTAAATGATAATTAGATGCAATCAAAGGCAAGATCTCTCATAACAGTGATTACAATATCAAATGACGGAATCTGTCTCTTTGATTAACGTTTGATTATTCATTATATCTCATATGTAACTGATATAATATTAAATTACTGTTAACATCAAATTATACTCAATTTAAATTATTTTTAATCATCTCTATAGGTCGTCACTCCTACCTAACATATCGTTAATTTAATTAAACAATGAAGTTAAATAATTTAACTCAAGAAAATGCATTAAATATGACTGAATCATAATGACTCAAATTTTTTATCAAATTTTTTATAAAGAGCTAAATTTATATTGAAAGTAAACACAAATTAAGCTGTATCATTGTACACTTGATGAAAATAAATTTCGAGCTAACTTTCTCAGTTCATCGAGGAATATGTCTTCAAAGTCTGACGTGCAGGAACTGCTTATGAAGCATTCCGTATTGATCGCAGTTACTTCGAGCTTTTAACACGATCGGTCTTAATCTCCGTTGTGACAGTAATCGATCGATCGGTGCAACACAAGCTTCTCCCCCCCCGTTAAGACATTATCCTTTAAGCACAGTTTACGTTATTCTGACAAGAGAACAAATTAGGCTGCATTCCGTTGCGTGCATGATGTATTACTTTATTTTTGTTTAACACTCTGCCAACAATAAGGATAAAATGATACCTCATGCACATTATGCATGCAACAAAACGTAGCATTAGCCACGAGTTCTTCTTAAAATGTGAATCTCGATGAAAAATGCATAAATGACGACGATAAACTATTGGCTGGCGATAGAACATTATACTTATTGTTCTACACTACTCTGCGGACAACACGTGTGTTTAAAAATTATCTCAAAGGTATCGTTAAAAGACTTTATCGAAAGAAGTTTTTTTAATGTACTCAAGACTTTCTGAGAAAATACATCCGGAAAAGTTATCTTTTAGAAAACATTTTTTGGAGCATTGTAGCTACTTGTATTATCGACTGCAACATTTATTGATTGAATACATATGACATGACTAATCTATATGCAAGATATGCCCACACATGCATATTTAAAAGACATTATAGAGACATCTTCTAGACATTGCATATTATCTGAAATGGATCATAAAAATATTTACTGTTTATTAAAATTCTCCAATGTTTTTTATAATTTTTTTATTTTAAACTATGTCATAGCAATGTGATAAGGTAAAATTTTTCAAAAACGTGTTAATAAAGAACGCAAAGGTAATCTGGAATTGCTTAAGAAACTGATACAGCATGATTTAAGATTTACACAAATTTCCTCAAAAAGTGATCTATATATTATATACAGGTGTTTGGAAAATAAAGATATATTTTTCGCAGGGGTAGAATGGACTAAACTGAGAAAAAAAGTCCTCTACCATTTAGCAATTTTCGCAATAGTTAACAAGATATTAATTGCTAAACATTGCCAAAAATTGGTTTTCAATAATTTTTTACTCAAATCTAAACTATCAACTTTACAGAAAAAGATAAAAATTGCAAGAGACAAAAATTGTTCGTTTTCTTCTTATAGAACTCTATGAATTTTTTTAGAATTTTTTAGCAACTTTTTAGTACAGCATTTTTTCATTTTTAACAACTTGAAAAAATACGATATTAAAAAATTCTGAAAAAATTCTAAAAAAAATTCTTAGACCTCTATGAGGAGAAAATAAATAATTTTTGTCTCTTGCCGTTTTTCTGTAACGTTGATAGTATTTGAGTAAAAAATTATTGAAAACCAATTTTCGGCAATTTTGAGCAATTAATATCTTGTTAACTATTATGAAAATTGCTAAATGATAGAGGACTTTTCTTCTCAGTTTTTAGTCCATTTTGCCTTATGCGAAAGATTTATCGTTATTTTCCAAACACCCTGTGTGTATATATATATATATATATAATTATTTAACAAAGTTTTGCAAATACTAAATCGTTGATTATTAATTTATGAAACAATTCTAATTCCTCTCTTTTTCGTATTTTTCTTTATTGTATTTCTGCATAATTGTGCTACACATATCTAAAAATAAAACTCTCTTACATATATGTATAAGACTTTGTAAAAACATCTTAAAACAGAATCTAAAAACATCATGTAAATCGAAGTGTAATAAAACAATTATAAAACAAAACAAAATAAACAAAATTATTACAATTATTATAATATAAATAAAATAAATATAATAATTATTATAATTCTATATTCTTGGTATAATTATTATAATTCTAAATTTTATTTAAAATAAAAATAATTTTGTGGCTCCATACTCAAATTTTAAAACGTAAATTCTCTGAATTCTTATCGCGAAGAGATGTGTCCTATCATCCCCAGCGATACAGAATGAAAATAATTGAGTGTAATTATTTATGCAATGTGAGTGATGTGGCAAGGTTAATGTTATTCATATCGCGAACGTTTGTGCGAGCATCCTTTATCAACTTGCGCTTGATCGGCTTCGCTATTATATCCATTGTCTAGCCAAGTGTTTCGTTTTGCAACAACGTGAAACGATTTTTCTCTACTTTGATTTTCCATGATTAATTCCCGCCGTCACGACGTTTTTTTAACATTTCTCGGTAAAGATATCTCCTTAACGCGACGATCGTCAACGACTATTAAAACTCGTTCATCGATTCGCTCTATTTCGCAAGAAATTACTCGTTATCTAAACATCGATACCTATTCAAGCGGAATAAGAAGTCGTCATTAAAATGGCGTTAAAATAGTTCCAGAATGATTATCATTAACCATTCGGAGCAGACGGTAAGTCTATTAGATCTACTACGCAATGATTGTTTGGAATAAAGATTCTAATACTTGATAAAAATAAGAATAATACAGCTTTCTTTGCGAATTAACGTTAGGATAAAACATGAAAATTATTATATTTGTGAATTTACTATTAGTTTTTAATTCTATCTGTTACTGTAGTAACTGCTATTTTACACAAATGTAACAATTTAATTTCTTTTATGTTATATCTGCAAATTTGAATCATTAAAGAACTTGTATTTATTCTTTTTTATACGAGTTACGTCACTTTAGTTCTTTGAAATTAATTTAATCAACATGTATATATGTATATTAAACGGATCTCACAGATCCAATGCGACTCAAGTCTGCAATTGTGTTACAGATTTTGGCGTTAGTTCCGAATAGAGTTACCATATCTGAATCGCAAGAAAGAGTATACATATGTATATGTACTTTACATATATAAGGAAAATCCTTCGGTCGCCTCCTCAGTGAAGCAGTTCGGTATCAGGTTCAGTATCTGCTCTTTATCTTAACAAAAGTAAACTGTTATCGAAACATTGGTATTCCAAAAATGAACATAGATATGGAAATATCCACACAGCTTATATGTACTTTTTAAAGAAAAATAATCCAAGGGCAGAGTATGATGATTTTTTTACGTAATAAATTTAGATATTTAATAAAATAAAATTTTTATTGATAATTACTATTAATATAATTTTAATTTAAAATTTTAATGATCGGAAGACAGAGAGTTTTATGATCATAAAAAGAATATATTTACTCTTGGAAAAGAATGGTAATTCTAACTCTGGAGGATTAAAAATAGGGCTGTTACTTTTGACAACTTCAAAGATTCAAAGCTTCAAAGCACTTTAAACTTCAAAGATTCAATTAACTTTGTAAATTCAACTCCTTTCAAAACTTCGAATTGTTAAAATTGTCAAAAGTAACAGCTCTAATTAAAAGTCACATTTTGATCGCGTGATTCATCTTAACATTACTTTGATATTATCGCGACCTTATTCTGCTTGAAAATAATCTGACTCCAAAGTTGTTTAAAAAAATATTCGATTATTGCTCGACAAACAGCTGCTCGTCCCGGCACTCGAAGGTTGTCTCTACGTGAAAACGTATACCAATTTTCCATTCCAATCGCTCAGATCTTTTTCTGGGCGTACAAAGAGATCACATGGCGCTGGGGTTTCGACCTGCGGCAAACATGCGCCAGTCGTGTCGTCGAGACTCCGTGGAAGCGACGCGAAGCCAGCTGCGAGCGGCGGTCGCGCGCAACATGGTGGGTTGCATTTTCGCGTAAAAACACACATCGCGCGCGCGCGCGCGAGCGCGGATGCTCCCCGCAGAGAGCACGTGGAGTATCTCTCTCTCTTTCCTCCTCGCACAGAAATATCAAATACCCTGTGTGCAACGCAACGTACGTTCTTTCATACCGAGAGACAAACGGAACGAACAAACTCACCATAATCGCGCACCGACTGCGGACTGTAGCTCGCGGCGTTGCTCGCCGGCGTTACGCGAAACCTCTCCATGCCTCTTCTTCCACTTGCTGCCCGCTGTCACTGCTCTGCCACTGTTCTTCTCTTCGATTCTTCCTGGAGTCGAAGGGCGGCGCGGATGGGGGACGGGTGGCTAAATTCGTTGTTCGATCACTCGCGACGCGTGACACGCGTGACACACAGGACGACGATGACACTCGATATGTAAGAATCGGCACATTCGCGCGCGACCACTCGCGTGCGCACTCTCCATTCGCTAACGTGAAATTACGGAACGCTACTGTGCGCGTCGCGCGTCGCCGGCTGAAGCGGCTGAACGCCGCCGCGACCGGCTCGGCGTTATCTTCACGCGAAATGGCGCGACGGAGTGGGGGTAAGGGCAGTGACTGGGGAGCAGCAGGAGCGACGCGACAGTTACGCGCGGGAGGGTGGAAGGGAGGGGAACGTGAAATATTGAAGGGGCGAAAATTGGAGTCCATTGTCCTGGGAAAAGAAATAATGGACGTTATTTGGAGACAGCTTTTATTTTAAGACCGTCTTATTAAGTAATGTCTTAAGTCGCTAATGCGGCCCTCTAATTAATTTATGACATCTTAAGACTGTACTTAGGACGGTCTTAAATATAAGATCTGACTATGAATACCGGCCTCTGATTGGTTTATGACATCTTAAGACTGTACTTAAGACGGTTTTAAATATAAGATTCGATTATGAATACTGGCCTCTGATTGGCTTATAACATCTTAAGATTGTACTTAATCTCAAATATAAAAATATAAGAATTAATTATAAGCTAATAAATCTGTTTTGATCTGTGTTCGTTTATTTGCGTTCCCTATAAGAGTTGACATTTCTGTGAGCTTACGGATATCGAAATTAAGATGATCAATCATTTCAAATTAGGAGGGACAGTCTCAAATTTTAATTCTTCATTCCATTTTATAAAACGTTCCAATTTTTGTCCCAAACTAAGGGTAAATTTTCACGAGCTGCTCAAACCGGTTGTTTCAGCGACAAAAAAAAACACGTGGTCAAAATTGACGAATATCAAACGCCCATTTTGATCACGTGATTCTTTTTGTGAAACAGCTAGTTTGAGCAGCTCGTGAAAATTTACCCTAAGGAAATGATTACGAATTATTCCTCTTTTAAGCGTGAAAATAATAAATGTAAAAATAATAAATGTGAAATAAATTTTCAACTGACGTGTGAAGAATTTTATAACTTTTTATTTAAGTACCCAAATTATTCATAAAATACATTCAGAAAAATATAATTTCGAAAAATAAAATTGAATTTTATTTCTAGCTAAATTGAATTGAATTTTTGGCGTGCTAATAACTGCGAAATGGAGAAGTGAAATAAAGAAATTTTACCACAAAAATGTTAAAAAGATAACGGACATAAAAGGGATAATAAAGCCAAGAACGAAAACAAAAAGATAAAAACGAGCGACTCACATGAAAAGTGCAAGGAGATTGGAGGATAGGACTTACAATCAGCAATCAAGAGAGTGGACATTAAATTGGCAACAAAGAGAACCGTCCATGACTCGACATATTCCTACATTTTCTTTTCCGTAATCGTGCATCCACGATATAGGGTGTGTCCAATTCGCCCTCTCGCGGGTTGCACCACCACCCATCGCGGGCGTGGGTGCACAGTGACGTAACTAGCAAGTTCACGACTGTCGTGTGGACCAAGAAGATGATTTCGGATAAAAGACACAATGTTTCTGACGAAATTAACCGACTCTTGTATCATTACTTCTAACAAATATTTATATCTATGGGCATATCCAGAATTTTTTCGGAAGATTTATTAATTCTGTTAAATAATTTTTGCATTAATAAATTGCTTTTTTCAATATCTTAAAGCTTGAAATATCTTCTTTTCATTCATATGTGAAATATTAGATTTTGTAAAAATTATAACTTTTTTTCCTCCTGAAGACAGTATACAGGCAAAATGTAGTAGGATAAAATTTTTAGGAGGAAAAATGTGAGGGCTTAACCTAAATTTTGTGGACATGTCCATGTTTATACTCACTTATAGTGAATGCAAGATTATTAGTGGAGGAGAGAGTTTTTATTAAAAACGTTTTAATTGTAAAACTTGTTGTATAATTAACAATTTATTAACAAGTGCCGAATTTAAAAAAAAGTTCTTCATAGAATTTATTTCCAGTTTGGAGTAAAAAAAATGAAGGACAACATCACACGGTGTTCCCAAGCGGTCACCCATCCAAGTACTAACCGTGCTCAACGTCACTTGACTTCAGTGATCAGACGAGAACTGGTACTTTTGAACGTGATTTGGAAGTTGTCCGAATACGTGAATTATTTGGCAATAGATAAATGATCACTTTAACTCTTCATCTTTAAATTAAATAATATATATACATATAATAAAAATATATATATACATATTATACATGATGTTTCAAACTCGAGCACCATCTGGTAATGGCAGTTTCCTAAAATCATTTTATGACAAAAATTCTAATACACATAATGTCCAAACTAAATATTTTTTTAACATAAATATGAACAATTAGAAATATCAGTAATTTTATCTTCGCCTAAGTAATATTTATATCGATATTAACAAGAAGCAACTATTTGTACCACATCTGAATGCGCAAATTTTAGACAATATAATTTGCTAACTTTAAATCATCATAATCGAAAAATTATTATAGCCTTGACGTTTTGTCATTAAAATTTTCGTCTCAAAATGACTTCAGGAATATCTGTCATTAGCAGATGGTACGTCGAGTCTGAAACACTCTTATAATAAAATCATTAATCTCTAAACATCGATCTTCTTTAATCTATACTTTGAATCTATACTTTAATCTATACTTTAATCTATACTTTAATCTGTAATTGAAGAAAACATGCACATAACAGATTTTCGCTTCCCAACGAATAAATAAAGTTCACACATCAAAATCGATCGAAACTGTCGGAAGGCAGGTGCCACTTTTGAAAAAAAAGCGATAATTTCAGGGTTATGTGACGTGATGCGATATCACCGTTACGCAAAATCGAGTAATTGCAAAAAAGCCTTCTTTCCCGCTCGCGTTTCTTTTTCAAGGTAGAGATCGTATAACTTATTCTCTAGGAACAAAAACGCGAAAAACTTTCCATTACCTTATGATAAAAATTTTCACGGTTCTGCCCCAGAACAAAAGTTATATGATCGTTATCCCGACAATGCCATCGTTCAGACGACAAGCTGCATAGATAAACCATTATTTTTTTATTTCTACCAGAAAATCATCATTTTCTGTCTGCATCTCGCCCGAGACATAATGCATAAAACATTATCGATTATGCGCGAGTACTATTCCGTTCTCGCCGCTTGTTTGTGAATTCTTGCACGCAGAGATAAAAATTACAAAAAAAAATAAAAACTTGGAGTTTTTAAATTCAGTAGAAAACTGATTCAATAATTTAATAATAAATAAATAATATAAAAGCTACAAACTAAGCTGGATGTTTTGTGCTAATAACTTTTTACTAATTTTTTACTTCGCCCTAAAAGTCTTTTACTCGAATATGTATTTTCTGTAGACACTTGACAATATATTTTATTAATTTATAACTCACATGAAATTTTTCCATTCATTCAAAGCTTTCTATGTAAAAATAATGGTAAACCAGTGGTGGTCAATTTTGTCTGACGTGTCAAGGTTTAAAATTTTTGGTGTACCACTTTGCTACAGAATTAAGGAAAAAAAAAGGCTGTAATATACTTTTTTCTTTTGCATTGAGCAAAAGATTTCTTCTATTTAACAAAATGTATTTCTTTTACTGTTCTGTTTTACATTCGTTTAAAAATAAATAGTTTACATAAAAGTGAATAAAACAAATGCAGCCAAAAAGTGCAAAAGTAAAAAATAAATTTGAAGGTCGTTATTTTAATGATCATTTTGAATTTTCTAAATTTTCCTCTGACAACACGCGTTGTGACAAGTTTGAGTAGGAATTTCGATAAAAAAAATTAATTTTTTATTCCACTCTAAAAGTCTTTTACTCGAATATGTATTTTCTGTGGACATTTGATGGTATATTTTGTTGATTTATAATTCACATGGAATTTTTCCATTCATTCAGGCACGTTACTGACAATAAGAATGCTTTGCGTGTCGCGGATTGGCCACCCCTGCGAACAATGAAATTGTAGTGCAATGACTCACAATAAGTGACGGCAGCTACTTATTGTCAGATCCAGTTTCGAAAAGGCGTTATCAACCCATTAGACTTTACAACAAGGCAAAAACGTTTCTTCGATATTTATGAAGTTATAAAGACAAAAGATACTAAATAATACTAAAATAACATAGATATCAAACATTTTAACGATGAATATCAAAAAGAGAGAGAATAAAAATTCTATTATCAATATATTTTCTTTATTACACTCTAAAAACTTATTTGTGTGGATTTAACACCATACGGTGTTTATGTAATTCTAACACCATGTTGGTATTAATATTAACATGATGAGAATTTAATACCATAATGATGTGATATTAAATTATGGGTTTCAAATCCACACCTTAATGGTGTTGATAATAAACTATGGATTTTAAATACACCATAATGGTATATTAATATAACAATGGATTCAAATCTACACTATGATAGTGTTGATACAACACGGTGAGAATTATACATTTATCTAAATATCGTATGATGTTAAACGGATATTTGTAGGGTGTAAGTTTTTGCTAAAAAAATAGTTCTTTTTTATTAACTGTAGAACCTCGATTTTCTACTCGGATTTTACTCCGAAAGTAAAAAAAAAACCTGTTTTTCATCTCTAATTACGTGTAGACATCGACATGACTTTCTTTACTTTGTCTCTAGAAACCGGAGTGGCTTCGCGAAAGCACTCGATATCAAATCCAGTATCGTTTTACTTTACTCCATGATGCTGCGCGACACCCATCTGCGGAGATAATCTAAAATCACACGTAGCGCCGAAGGTAAACGTCGGGGGGAGAAAAAAATTGTATTTTTACCGACCCGTATCATCCCGGCGCGGCTGTCATCGTATAACCGTCTTTTATCATCTCGCGTTCCACGGACGGTGATTTCGCAGAAGGGCGTGATTGCGAGAGTCAGTCGGGAACGGCGCGGGAGTGCGTGCGGTATTTCTCTCCTTTTGTGTTACTCTTTCCTTCTTTCCATTTTTTTTCCTGCCAGTCGCAACCCGCAGGAACGCGCGAGCGGCGTTTCCCCGTCTCTCTCATTTTCTCTCTTTCTCTCCCTTCCTCTCGCACCGTCTGGCGT